GATGAACCCTTAACAATTTGTAGTCTGGCATAAATATATAATATATATTATTTGTAATGTACAAAACGTGTTTGACGTGGATACGTTCACCACGTGGTTTAGGCACTCAAGGGAATTCCTCGTCAAGCTTATTACATCGCTACAAAGGTCGGAAGGTACGAGCTAGATTACGAACACATGTTTGATTTTACAGCCGAGCGAGCTCGTCGCAGTGTAAAAAAGAGTCTGGAGCTTCTGCAGCTCGACTACGTCGACGTCATACAAGTGAGTAGGTATACAACTTTTACTTAAACGCTACTTATGAACTAACAACTTAAAAGTACAGGTCATGGAATATTGCTTGGTACAAGTAATTTTAACAAATCACTTGGTGCGTTGTAACAGGTTCACGACATCGAGTTCGCGCCTTCGCTGGACATAATCATAACTCAAACCCTGCCCGAGTTGTCGCGCCAAGTGGCCGAGGGCCGTGCCAGACACATTGGCATCACTGGCTACCCTGTTTCTGTACTCAAGGAGTGCATCGAACGGAGCAACATCAACATCAGCTGTGTGCTGAGCTACGCTAGGTTCACCCTCATCGATGACACCCTCGCCGAGTACATTCCGTTTTTCAAAGTTAGTGCGACGCAAACGCGGTTCTCAATGATAAATTTTACTCTGAGATTCTTTTAATTACAGTTCGATTGAGATTCTAAATGCTCCTTAGCAGTCTCTGGTCGATGAAATCTTAAATTAATGAAACTTAATTAATCAGTACAATACACGTGGCACTGAGTATATTAAAATTACTTTGAATACAGTAAAGATGCGTGATCAGCATTTAGTCATCCAAATACTAAAAATGTTGTTTAAAATATTGTGATTCCAGGAGCACAACATTGGAATCATCAATGCCGCAGCACCGTGCATGGGACTTTTGTCAAGTAAAAAACCTCCACAATGGCATCCGGCTCCAGAGTGTATGAAAAAAGTATGCAATGACGCGGCACAATGTTGCAAGGTAGGATATCTCGTGCAAAAGTTTGGCACTTGAAAAACTCGACTTACAAAATACCGTTTGGTAAATGCGTTCGCATACCATTGACAGTTTACGTTTTGACAAACGTTAGGCACATGACGTGGAATTAGCTAAGCTAGCGGTTTGGCATTCGTTTCAATGTCCAGATGTTTCTACCCACTTGGTTGGAATGCAAAATTTGCGAGACTTGGATATAAACATGAATGTTGTTTACAATGGCATTAGCGATAAAGAGATGGAAGTTCTTGAAGAAATAAAAAAAGAGTAAGTAGCATTTCATTTGAATCTTGGGCATTGATGAACTTTACCAATGATTCAAAGTTACATAAACGTAATAACTTTGAAATTTACGCTAACTTTGGATCATTATGAAAGTAGTTGATTAATACTTCCCAGAGTATTAAATCAAATGTTTTGTATTTTTTAATAGCTGTCGACATCGAAGGATGTTAATGTAATGTGATATTATTAAACAATAGTAATAAGTTTAAGTAAAGCTCTGTGTTCACAGCTTTGTGATTGTGGAAATATTATGGTGAGTTCTGCAGTTCGATACGTGGAATTAGAAATAATGAAAACTAGATCTCTGAAATTCATAGTAATAGATTACAGTAACACCTCTAATTATTTATAAGTACGTGAACATTTTTTTTTTTTTAGGTTCATCTCGAAAGTGACAAAGAAGCATTGGGAAGGAATTGAAATTGAAAAATACAGGAGTGCCATGAAAAACAAACGTATGTAACGTATGAAACTCTAGCTTTACCCAAGAGATACTCCTTATAATTTACTATGTGATATTTCAAGTTTTTAACAACTTTTATAAAAACTTATTTCTTATCATTACACTATTATATGGTTAATAAAAAAAATTTTAATAATCAGATAAAGAACTTTTTTTATCAAATTTTTTAAAGCTCCTTGGGTTGTTACTTAACTCTTTTTCTTGATTCTCGAGGACTCCATGAAAAACTAACAGCTTAGAGTAAAGGTAAAATTATCATAACTTGCTAGCAAGATAAATTACCTGCCACCATATTTTAGAAGAAAACTGAAATCAAACAGTTTCAAGTATCATAGTTTTAACTATAAATTTTTAAACTTTGGTATTTATAGACTTTTCTTTCTGGCTTAAACGTTAAAAATCATCGACCTGCTCTTCTACCTGACGGAATACCTTTTTTTTTGTAACACAGCATAGTTAGAATCTCCTGGCTTAATTTGATAAGTCAGTTCGTACATTAAAGTTGTAAGCAACGTACCTACAATTTGCTGGTGGTACATCATCTTTAATTCAAAACCCTTTTTCAAACATAATTCCCTACCACCCTCCGTGTACTCAGATGCCACGATATTGGCACAGCTATAACCCTGTTCAATGGCAAAATCAATGGCTGCTTTTAAAAGATGAGAGGCTATACCTTTGCGTTGAAAATTCTTGTGAACGCAGAGACGCTTGATCCATGCTCCCTTGTCAAGGCTATGACTTTTTTGCAAGCCAATGCTACCTACAATCCTCTTAGATTGAGCAGACACATCAATTTTGGACTCCTTGAACTGTTTTTCAGTTATGATGTTGTAATAAAATTCAGAAGGACTGCGTGTCGTGAAAATAGGCTCATAGGCTTCGGCTACCCAGAAACAAGAAAAAGCGTTTGACATGTAAATCCTGAAAAACAATTATTTTCACCAGTTTACCGCCACAAATACTTTATGTAACAAAAGAATGATTAGTTACCTGGCTATATTTGAAACTTCTTGGTCTACTTCTGCTGCTTTGGCCATGAAGGCTACATATGTAATTACGTAAGTTGATAAGAGTACAATAGGCACGACAAGAAGGCAGATTGTTATTGGCATTCCAAAAAATATGAACATTATTGCAGCCAAGAGAATCATAATTTGAAACGTCACTTCTTTAAGCACGTTTCCAATAAAGGTACTGTTCATCGATGATAAAATTCCGCTTCTTATCAATTCATGACAGCTCATCTCATCCCCTGGGTGGTAAGGCCTGATGACAACAATGTGACTCATTTTAGCTGCAGTTCTGAAACCGTAAGAACCATGGAAAAAATTAAAATCTCCTCATCAATGGATTATCAATCTAACTTTACTTAAAAAAAATAGTCGACAGTACTGCATTCGTCATACAAAATTAACTTAATGTATAAGAAAACAAGAACAGGTTAGGATTTTAAAAATACACTGCAAAACAAATTCAGATGAACCAACAATTAAAATAACAATGACGAAATACAACCAGCACAATTCTAAGCTCAATAAACAAGGATTTTCAACTATTTTCGATTGGTTTGGTTAAAACTCTTATAATGTTTATGGGACACCTGATACCATTAATGTAGTAATTTTGAGGTATCCCAAACTATTGTTGCTTTATCAATTACAATTGAAACTCTCGATCGTAAGTAAAATTATTTTGTTCCTTGATTCACTTTCTGCCACCTAATTAATCAATTCGATTCCTCGGTTGCTTGGATGCACGAGCTGTATTGACTGTACTGATGAAAGTTGTTTACACACTGCACCAGAAAGAGAGGAGACGCAGAGTATATTTTGGGTATCAGCATGGCACCCGAGCAGTGGGTAAAGTTACTTCAAGACGCCAAAAAAACAGCAATTATTCAGGATGGTAATTTTATTTGCATTAACTTTTCATTATTTATTCTTAATCGTCTTGCAAATTTTGTAGAAACGAAAAAGTACCATATGTGCAACCTTTTAAATGAAAAGCATTTTATGTTTACCGCTAACCTTACTGTTTGATCAATACCGGCTCGCATTCTGCAGTCAATATTAAAAAGTTACACGAAATTAAAAAATTTATTCATAATAAAGAAAAAATTAACCAATAGTAGTGCTCAGTGAAGAATCTTTGTAGAAATGTACAAATGCACTTTGTTAAAAAAATGTTTATTTTTACTTTGATGAAAAATTAAAACTTAGTTTAAAATTAATAAGTAATGGAGTATGATTGTTGCAGGGAAAAGAAAGGTGCATTTTTTGATGGGAGATGGTCGAGAAATGGTGGAAGAATATAGCATGGAAACTAATGTTCTTGTGAAGCGATCATGGAAAGAGAAAGGAAAATTGGGACAGGACATGGGGTGGGTGGTGGAAGTTGGTGATCCACAGCCAAAAATTACAGATAATTTGGAAACTGTTGGTATAAGAGAGAGCTCAAGTGCTGTAAGTACAATGAATATCTATGTGAAAAATCTTAATAGTATAGATACTGCTAACTGCTACACGTTTGTTAAAAATTTTCAGCCACTGATCACACGAAGGATAACTAAAACTGCCTTAGAATGGAGGATAAGAAATTTGTCTTACCCCAAAGATGTTTATTCTGTATCAGCAGAAGATGATGGAACAATAACTGTGCGTACAAGTAACAAAAAGTATTTTAAAAAAATGAACATTCCTGATTTAGATCGAATAGGTTTGAAACCAGAGCAAGAAAGAATATCTTTTACACATCAGTACAATACTCTTACAATTACAGTGAGTATTGTCAGGAAGATTTATTTTTGATTTGCTTATTAATAATCGTTTTATTTTTTTCAGTACAAAAAACCTCCAAAACTCCTTGCCATTGAAAAAGACATATTTGACATGGTTTCAAAATTAAAAGTAGCAAAAGATGGAGATGTTCAGTGTCCAACAAGTTAGCAAAATAAGGATTTAGGAAAAATATTCACTATGTTTCTGTTCCACTAAATTTGGAACGACTAACTAATGTTTTTTATTGGTACATAACTTATTTGTGCACATATTTACTACTTTTAAGAAATATAAAATAAGGTACTATTCGAATTCTAAGCATGTTAAATCTTGAAATCTGCAGGAAATTTTATAACAAAATTTTTTTTTTAATCTTTACTCTTGTTACTAGTTCAAAAAACTATTTTAAGGCGCTTACTACAAACATCTTACCTTTTTTCTCAATAATTTAAGATCACTTAATCAATGTGAAATACACATACTTAATTTCAATCGCTAAAGTGAAAACAGCCGCCATCCACACACAGCTGTTGGATAAGTATAGAGGGCGTTGTGAAAAGAGAAGCTATATCTATATAATGTTCAGCAGCGTCCGCGTCTGCGTGTGGTTGACCGCGAGTAGTGTTGTTGTTCGGCGTATAATGCGTTTTGTTTTGTGTTGAATCGCGTGAAATAAACATTTTAAAATGTCCAAGTCCATACCCGACAGGTAAGCTCAAGATAAGGTTTTGTTATTCACCCATTAATTTTGTGCAAATTAAACGTCAGTTATTGTAATAAAGGCTGTGCAAAAATTGCTTTGTTTTTAAGGTTATGTTTTGATTGCGTTACCACTTCGTAACCTCAAGATCCGTCAATTATTACACGTTAGTCTGTCGTTTTCGCGAATAGCGAGGTGTAGTGTTCTAAAAAATAAAAATGTGAAGCTTGAGATTTGTCAATTTGTTGTCGACGATCTTTTGTTGTTATACATTGGCGCGTCTTTGCCGCTACCTATAAACACATATATGTTCTATCATGTATATTTATCGTGGCTGTTTTATCGACTTGCAGTAGGTACTGTAGTAAATCCAGTTCAAAGTACGTGGGGTAGATAAGTGAGCATCGTATAGATGGAGTTAGATACACCGCGTAACTTGAATTTCGAGCCAACATATTAGACACGTGTTTAATGTTTGTTCTACAAACAGCACACATAAATTATTGTTATTTAATTTTTGTGATACTTGCTATGAGACGTTTTACTGATATGGTATGTCTTACATATTCAGGTGGCTGGATTACAAGCCCTATGGCGAGGTTATTAATGGAACAAATATAATGGCCTTCAAAGTGCCCCTCAAAGAGGTTAGTCACTTTATTATAATTGTAAATGTTTAAATAAGGTGTTGTATAATTTTACTCTTGAACTAATGGAAACTCCCTGTACTATTTTAATATTTAGGTGTTAAATAAGTTGTATTCGAGTCGATTTTCTCAAATGGATTTTGTAATAAAGTCAATTCCAGTTGAGCCAAAAAACCGACAGGTAACAAGATGCTTAGTCAAAGAGTATCCTACTTCTAATTTGGTGATGACAGTTCTGCAATTTCACCAACGAGCGAAATAAACTGTTTTTTTGCCCTCAGACGTACGTTATGTTTCCATTTTAGAAAAAAAACAACATAAGCACGTTCACTATGGTTTACACTTTTTGCCTGCAACCGTAATCATTCGAACTGTTATACTAGTTTCAGTTAGACATTTGAAACAACATTAAAATAAATAAGTACTAATACAACGCAAAAATGTTGAGGCCAGTATTGTCGACGAGGCAGTAACGAAAAAAAATCATACTAGCTCCAACAGCTAGAGCGCTTCGATTCCCCAAATTTGTCAGGCATCGCTTGGCTTGAACTAATATGAGAGGATGTACACCAAGGCCTCGAAAGTGACCGCTCAATCCGGGGCACCATAGGGGACTTGATGCAAGTACGGCGGTCGTGAGAAATCGGTACGCGAAATTGAAACCTACCACAGATAAGGTTCGATCTCGGACCCGTACAGTGATCGGAGGAAACTGAAGTAACCCACCCGTGTCCACGAGCGGGCAAGCGAATTATTGCATTCACGGCGTGCGCGTGTGAAATTTCTTCCCTCATCGGCCGTGCACGCGTGCAGGTATACACATCTGCCCAACGAAAAGAGACGAACAAAGTCAGCGTCCGAGGGTCCAGATAGCGCGTTATCTCCGGGACATTTCGCCGAGATTCCCCACTAATTCTGCACACCCGAAGGGGCGAATGAAAAAAAAAAAAAAAGGAAAAAAAATCACTCTGGCACATGTGAGCGCCGAAAGAGGATGGTACACCACGTAGTTCCCATGCAGGCACACAACGCAAGCTCGAGGTTGTTTTACCCCGCGCGAATGGTAATAAAAAAAATAAAAAAAGACCGGACTTACACGTGTCTCTTATCCGAGCTTTCGCGGCTCAGTTCCCCTGCAGCCCGCACCTCGTATCTGCTCCCCTTTATCTCTCCTTTTCTCTCTCTCTCTCTCTTATCATCTTTCACTTTCTCTCTCCTGTATATGCGTTCGGTTCGTCGTGGTAAATCAAACGCGGGTCGTTGCATACACATATTATATATATATATANTATATGTGGGTAATACCTTACCTGTAAAGTGTTGTATGTAATATACTATATATAAAGAGAAAAAAAAATAATTTGGACGAAAGGGAGAAAGTGCGGTTGTATTCCTTGGTGCCCGTAAACAACGCACTTTCCTCTCGGTTTCTGCTCCTAATATACACGCTCTGCTCCGCGTCTTCGCGGGAGGGATCCCTGGCTCGCGCAGATAAGATCGAGCATCGAATTCTCGAAGGGAGTACACCCATGTATATAGCGCCTGCCTGCAGGGCGTACATGTATATATCATATACCCACACACGCGTACGTAACAGGAGGTTTTCTAAATTATTTGAGGCTCCCGCCGGCAAGTGCAGACGCCATTGTGCGCGTGTGTGTATATGTTTATACCGTATAGTCACCTTCGTGGCATCGCTCGATCGGTTGTCCGTCTGTCTTTGTATGTTTTTTTTCCCCCCCTCTTTCTTTTGCTCGTTAGTTATTTGCTTGGGTCTTGTTCCCACGAATCTTTCAGACGGTTTTTCAAGCCGAATTGTTTATCCTCCTGCATCGTAATATGAAGATCATGAAAACATTTTTTTTAAAGTGGCTGTATTTGTGAACGTCATTTCGTATCGTCACCCTCAATGCACCTCACACGTTGGCTAATTTTGTTTCAATCACCATACCGTGTAAAAGCTCCATAATCAGATCTTGTCCAACAGCTGCTCTACGTTTTCAGGGTCAGCTTCTTGTCGTTACCGCAGACTGCAATGATAATAATAATAAGTTGTCGCGTGCAAGTGACGATCAGAATTGTTTAAGTCAGTTTATGAAAAAATTAACGTGTCTACCTAGCAGGTACCTCCAAATAAATGTATGGCCAGGCTCCGCCGTTCATTTAATCAATTTGGTCCCTTGACAATAATAGCAGCGCTTACACGGCACGGTCGTGTTTGACCTTTAACTCGACTCGTTAACACTACAACCCAAACGAATGGACTGGTTTACACAGTTAAATTTATCAAGTCCCAAGTGCAACTGCATCAGATCCGTAAGCAGACAAAACGATCGCAAAGACATCGGCAGTTAAATCAACAGATTCGCATGGATTGATAATCTCCGTGGACAGTCATTAACGCGCTCGTTGACATACGCACCGGCTCGGCACTGTCACTAATTCATCTTATTATAATCACTGATCGAACTACCAGTTACATAAAAAATACATTGCCAATCTATTGTCCTGACCTCAACCATGATTGTACACCTCCGTTATCCCTGACACCACGACAAACTTTTTTGCCCTTTAAACTCTACACTAGCAAAAATAAACGATACTCGCCGATGACAGATTAACTCGACAAACGTGCAATGAAAATCGGCAACTACCGTCAACCTGCATGTCATTATTCGCACGTTCGCTGTGGATCCTGATGTACCTTCAAAGATGTCCACAAGTAAAACTTGAGTCCATGCAAAAAGAGAGAAGTGAAAGTCGAATCGTCTATACCGGTAATATATATATATGATGTAAAATAAGTACTTCATAAACAATACCGTGCGTGCTCTCCCTTACGTATCCACAGTCGTCTCGAGAGGCCTTCTCGTTCGTTCGACGATTACCTCGCTCCTCTCGTCTCCCTTGCCTGGAAAAAAAAAAAATATTTCCGATGCTCGTGAGTGCCGACAGAAAGCCCTTTGGCCCGCGACAATGACGAAATTATCTTCCCGATACTTTCCCCCCGCCTTTCTTTTGCGCTTTGAAAAATTACCTGTCAACCCCGAGTATTTATTAATATTAAAAGCCGAGAGAAAAACTCACGCGACCGGGAACTCCTTCGCGCGCGTGTACATCACACCTACTTTTGTCCAGCACTTCTGCGAAACCTTCAATAAGTATATAGGATTATATCCCGGCTTTCGGCGCGTTAAATACCTCATTTGGCTCGTAAAGAAAAATCCTCCCTCTGTGCACTCGATAACTCACGACCTTCTTCCCCTCCCTCGCGTACTACCTTTACACAAGCAAAAGTGACTTTCATCGCGTCAGCGGTATATTATATACTTACGAGCATCCAGAGAGAAAAATTTGGCGTGTCCCGCGGTAAACGACGGACGGCGCGTTGCACGGGGAGGTGCGTGTGCATTATAATATATTGTATGGCCGTAAACCGAAAAGGCCGTTCTTAGCTCGCCGAAACCTCGAGCATATATGGGGAGGAAGAAACGAAGCCGCTAAAACGGGGGGTAAATGTAAGCGCATGGGAGAGAGAGCCGCGGCGATGGTCTAATTGATGGCGGTGGCCCGCGCGCGGAGTTTCGCGGGGCATAAACCATTTTTATACGGAGGTCCGTCTGACCCTGCTCCCCTGTAGGTGTGCACTGTACACTCGAGTGTGCCGCTCGTCGATGCCTCATTAAAATTCGGTGCGCACCGCGCTAATTGTACGCGCACGCGAGACTCCGCTCGATACGTGCAGTGTGCGTGTGTGTATATATGTACGGTAAATTAAAGACGGTAAGGGACGACGGTGCGGCTGCTTTGTCCTATACAGCGATGCGAGGTCCCGAAAATTGCGGCCGCCATCGAGCCTTTACTACTAATATTATATATATATTGTATACAGCTTCGCGAGTAATTGACGTTCCAATCAGAGTGACTTTGCTTATTTTCTTGCTTGACGCGTCGTTGCCGAGAATCTGTTGTTTACGAATCTTCAAAAAGTATACTCAAAGTCATACCTGTTTGATTAACTTGTTTACCGAATACAATGTTATTATAGCGTTATTGTATCAAAAAGAATCAAAAAAATTTTCTATCGATTTTTCTAGATATTTTCTCTACAATGATTCTGTGAAATTCAATCATATAAATTTAAAGCTTGATTTTCTGCAATCCATATGAAAATTCATTTCATCGGTCCCAGTCAAACGTGCTAAATTTAAACTTAATTGTTTTATCACGAAAATGGTCAGAAAATTTATTTTGTTATCGCATACAGGTCTCGATATCCCGAATCACTACGAAACCACGTGGCTAATCTCATCACTAAACACTCATAATACTCGTAATCCTCTCTAAAGATGAGCTACCGCTGCACGTAAGTAATTCGTGTATACGGGACACACGTGTATATGTATTTACAGAGAAGTTACCAGATCGTAAAGCTACACCGGAGCAGCCGTGCCGCGTTTAAAACCGCATCGCATCCACTTGACCTTATCTCAGACCGTGAATTTTAATCCCTTAACGTATTATACATAGCAACCCACACCTGTGTGCGTGCCTATATATATATATATATATATATATATATATATATATAATGTACACGCACAGCAAATACTGACGCAAGAAGCGAGGGTAAAAGATACTTTTAATTAATACAATTATAAACAGCGCACGAATAAACCTCGCTCTTAACACGTGCGTAACCCACGCGATATCTCCCGTCTTATCTCCTCCGTACACGCATCTCGACCGCGTGCGCGTTATACATATATGTGGGTAATACCTTACCTGTAAAGTGTTGTATGTAATATACTATATATAAAGAGAAAAAAAAATAATTTGGACGAAAGGGAGAAAGTGCGGTTGTATTCCTTGGTGCCCGTAAACAACGCACTTTCCTCTCGGTTTCTGCTCCTATATACAAGTTATTGTGTATCTCGTGCGCTTGTACCCCGTCGTCGATTAAACGCTTAAACGACGTGTTTTCGCCATGTGCACGCGAG